ACACCTTTCAAACCTAACGTGGCGAACTACCCACTCCCTCAAAAATTCAAGATGTCATCTGTCGAAACCTTTGATGGTACGAAGGATCCATTGGACCACCTTGAAACTTTTAAGACCTTGATACAACTGCACAACGTCCCTAACGAAATCATGTGCAGAGCATTCCCAACCACCTTGAAGGGATCCGCTCGACACTGGTTCGCCAAGATCACCCCCGCTTCCATCGGCTCATTTGCTGAGCTAAGCAGGTCATTTGTGTTGCATTTTATTGGAGGACACTGTCACCAGAAGCCTGCCACCCACCTGCTCAGCATAAAGTAGGACCGAGATGAGAGCCTGCGAAGCTAACTCACTCATTTTAATGAGGTGGTCCTTCAGGTCGAAGAACCCGATGAAAAAGTCAGCATGACCGCCTTCTTGGGTGGCCTTCAGTCATTGAGCTTCCTTTTCTCTGTGATGAAACGCCCACCAAATAGCATGTCAGAACTATTGACAAAAATTCAAAAATTTATGAATGCTGAGGAAATCAACAAGTCGAGGCGAGGTGAATCATCTCACGGATTGCCAAAAGCTTGACATGCCTCTACACTGTTCTTAAACAGGTAGTTTATCTCCAACTTAACGGCACTCTCGAGGGTCGCCAAAAAACTTGGCCTACCTCTACACTGTTCTTAAACAGGTAGTCTATCTCCAGCTTAGTGGTTCTCTCGAGGGTCGCCAAAAAGCTTGGCCTACTTCTACACTGTTCTTAAATAGGTAGTCTATCTCCAGCTTAACGGCTTTCTCAAGGGTCGCCAAAAAACTTGCCTACCTCTGCACTGTTCTCAAACAGGCAGCATATCTCCGCTTAGCGGCTCTCTCGCGAGTCGCCAAAAAAGTTTGACCTTTGCACTGTTCTCAAACAAGCAGTCTATCTCCCGGCTCTCTCATGAGTCGCCAAAAAAGCTTGGCATCTACTCTGCTCTCACGCAAGTTGCCTATACCTCAAGCTTAAAAACTCTCTCATGGGTCGCCAAAAACTCGGTCTCAAAAGATGTAGCTCTCTCATGAGCAATCCTCAAACTCTGTCTTGCTCTCACGCAAGCAGTCTGCCTCTCTCTTTCAGGTAGTCATGTTAAATATTTGAAATAACATTATTTTTATCATCTCTAGCCAGGATCTTGAAACTCAGGTCGTCTTCAACCCGAGGGATTACCTTAGATTGAATGTCAACAATCGGTGTCTCATCCATCTAGCACTCAACGCCTGAGACGCCTGGCCAACGGCGCCAAGAAGTGCCTGACCCCCCTCTGTCAGCGCCTGGAGGGGCGCCTAACTCTTTGTGCTCACCCAAAATGGTGCTCTATGGCGCCTGCACACCAAGACCAACCCTCTTTCCTCCTCCTTGCTCGTCTGGATTAGCGACTAAGTCATACACATGCTCTCCCAAGATGCCAAGCACAACAGGTTGCTCACCCAAGCAGTTCTTCGCCTAGCTGGTTCGTGCATACAACAACACCAAGCCGCCCATCGGTGTACTCCCGAGAGCTGCTCCACTCACTCGAGGGCTCCGTGCTCGCCTGGGTCGCCTCAGCCTGGGTGCCCTGCACCTGGGCCTCGGCGCCCAATCCCTGACCAATAGAAGTGTTTGCCCAACACCTCTCTTTACAGCCTGCACCCAAGTCCTGCTCACCCAAGGCATGATCACCCAAGCTCTGCTCGCCTAAAGGACTGCCCAACACAGCAAGCGCCTCCCTGGTTTGCTCGCCCAGATCACCAAGGCTGCCTAGACCGCCAGCCTCACAAACAACCCGTTCACCCAAGGCCTCTGTTGCCTCGCCAACATGGGTGCCTAGCACTCGCCCAGTAGCCAGTCCTATGGGCCATGCACTTTCATCTCTTCTCCAGGAGACAACACCAACATTTCCAAGTTGCATACCAAGATTTACAAACCTTAGCACATGATCTCCACCATTCGACATTGTTCGAAAAAAAAAAAAAATTTGTCCAGGAGGTTGTATGCTCGCCTAGGAGGTGGCTTGCTCCCCAAGGAGGTGGCCTACTCGCCCAAAAGCTGGTTGTTCGCTCAAAAACACGCCCCTGGCTCCTTGCTCTCTATTTTGACCATAACTTTTGGTCCGTAACTTAAAATGGGGCTTATTATATATCAAATCGAAGCTCTCAACGAGTTGAGCAAAACTCATTACCTATAGTAATGAGCTTTTCAAAAAAAATCTAAAAAACGTTCAGAAATAGTTGTTTTGGCCTCCCGAAGTTTCAAAAAAAAAATTGTGCTGCTCACCTAGGACGCTGCCTGCACACCCAGGATGCTGCTTGCTCGCCCAGAAGCTCTCTGCTCACCCAAAAATGCACGCACAACTCTTTACTCGCTATTTTGACTATAAATTTTACTCTGTAACTCAAAATGAGACATATTATATATCAAATTGAAACTCTCGACGAGCTAAGCAAAACTCATTACCTTTGGTAATGAGATTTTTAAAAAAAAATCCAAAAAATGCCTAGAAAGAGGTGTTTTGGCCTCCTGAAGTTTTTTTATTTTTTTTTTAAAAAAATAAAAATTCAGCTCGTCCAGGAGGTTTTCTGCTCACCCAGCACAGTAAGTGCCCGCCTAGAAGTGGCCTGCTCGCCTAAAACATGCACCCAACTCCGGCTCGAAGTTTTGTCCGTAACTTTTGCTCTGTTGCTTGAAATGAGGCTTATAATATATTAAATCGAAACTCTCGGTGATCCCTACAAGATTCACAGCCAACGGCTGTGATTGATGCTGTTGAAAGTCCAAAAAAGACCTATAAATGGATGTTTTTGGCCTCCTGAAGTTTTTCCAGTTATGTCGGTCAGCCAAAAATTCAAATTCAACTTAAATGCCCTCCTTTCCAAGTTCTGTTGGACGCAGGGCATTGGGAGGCAAATGATGGGTCAGGCCCAAATGCCCAACCCATGTTATAAGCCTGATTCGAGCTAAAGGCCCAATGTTAAGAGATCCAACTAGTCAAGCCCAAAAGAGTATACACCCGCATAACCTTATCAAGATCAAGGAGTTGCAGGGAACATGCATGGTTATCCAAGAGCTTCCTCTACCACCTTAGAGTAAGGGTCATCCAAGGGTCTCCTCTACTACCTTGGAGTAAGGGTTATCCAAGAGTCTCTACGCCACCAAGGAAGCATCCAAGAGCCTTACCTTCACCATCAAGAGAGCATCCAGATGCCTTACCCTCGCAGCCTGGAGAGAGTCAACATCCCTCATCCTTGAACAAGTCCTTTGGAGAGCATACCAACCGTCACACCTCGCCCGTTGAGAAGATGATAGGTCGCCTCCGCCAGATCAGCTACCTAATTACTATCAAACGGTCCTAAACCATTATGATCGTCAGATTAGTCATACAATTACTATACCAAGCCACTATAAATTGTAAGCTCCCCCAACACTTGAGGGACATCAGACTCATTTGAGCATAATTCTCTCCTCCCCTCTTAAAATTTGTAATCATTTGCTCTCTCTCCACACCGGAGATAATACAATTCTGGCGAACCTAGCCATTCAAAATGGACATAGATCGTATTGACCGAACCACTATAAATCATGTCTTCTCTCTCCTTCTACTTACTGCAATTTATACTACAACTTGACTAGTGGTGTACAAACTAATTTGTGCATCATCATATTTAACAATGAATACATCAAACTCCTCCCCTCCCTTAATTAATTAATATTATATATTATTAGTCACTTTATCGTGGCATGCATGTCATTAATAATAGATAATATCAAAAACCAATAAAAATACACCATATAAAATAAAATAAGTAAATCCCACTATTTTACTTGCTTTTAATAACCACCTAAGAGCATCTCTAACCCTAAATCTAATTTAGACTCAAATTTAAATTTGAGTCTAAATAGTCTAAAAATCTTCTCCAACTTTAAACTTAAATCTATACTAAAATAAGAAAAAATTTCTTTTGGACCCAAATTGAAGGGGATTCAAATTCGATACCAAATTTTTAACGGTAACTTTTTATCTTATTCAAAGTCAAAAAATTTCTTCGACGATTTGTTTTCTGCCTCTTTTGACCTTTCTCTTCCATTACTGACTACAACTGACGTATTCACATATCCCTTAAAGACTTGTAGATAAATTTTTTCCTTTTCATCTTCAATCTTCTTGAATTTTAGTATTTTTCAAAATCCTAATCTCACTTGTCTTTCATACTATATAAACCCTAAGTTTACTCATCAAATTTTACTTTAATTTTTTTGAATTAAATAATGTCAGTAGTGTAATTTCAGGCCACCGAATGTTATTAAAATTTCAAGTCTTCTCTACTCACAAATTTAGAAATTTCATTATTTTATTTTTTCAATCATCAATTTTTGTTGAAAATAATTCATTTTTTGTATTTTTCAAATCAAACCCATGTCAAAGTAACTGTTTTTTTTCTTTTTTTTTTTTTTTTTAATTCGGATTTATAGAAGAAGATAAGAGATTAAAACAATCTGAGAATTCTAAAATAATTTTTTTTGCTTCTTTTTATTCCCATGTTATACTGATGTATCCATATTCAATTTTTTTTTGAATTACTCATTTGTGGAGAAATTTGAAAATTTCATTTATTTTATCAAATTTTTTGATTTAAATGACACAAAAAATGAATTTTGGAACAAGAAGAGAATATTTTTAAAATTTTAAATAAATATTTGAGTTTGTCTATTGGAATACCAAATCAAATTTTTTATTCAAATTTGATAAAATAATTGGAGATAATCTAATGAATATTTATTCGCAAATTAAACCCAAAGAACACACAAAAATTACAAGCACCGAGTTTTAGAATTACAACCAAACACGCCCCTGCAATGCGTGGGGGGAGTGATTTTCTAAGTAGATCTTGCCCGGTGGTTCTAGTCTCGTAGCTAAGCTGTCTCTGCCGGCCGAAGCACAAGAAAAAGTTCAGTCATCTCACATCAGCGCCAGCCGTCGGAAAAAAACTTCCGCCATATGGAGAAGGGCAAAGCAGTGATGGGTGCGGGTCGTAGATGGGCCGTAGATTTCACCGACAATTCATCCTCTTCCTCCACTCGAGACATCGCCGATCCCCCTGGCTTCACCCGTGCTTCTCACGACCAGGTCCGTACACACATATGTTTATATATATACGCGTGTGTGTGTGTGTGCGCCTATGTATTTTAGATTGTAGGTTTGATTATTGTGTATTTGATAGGAGGAATCAACTGGGAGTCGCCAGAAGAAGGACGCTGAAGCCAATTGGAAAGCTCAGGTAGGTTTGGTTTCTTTTTCTTTTTTTTTTTTTTTTTAAATTTTGATGGTTATTTTGATTAATTTTGTGGAGGAGAGAAAAACAAAGATTTTATGTTTTATTGATGGTAATTAACCAAACAGGGGATATTAGATAAAAAAAGGCACACTACCCAATTTGGTTGGAGTGAAGGGAGTTCACACGATACAGACTTAAACTTAAATATTATCTGCACGAAGTGTTTCTCCTTGTTTTTGAATCCAAAACCTTGATGTTGTTAGTCTACTTATTTCGTCATTGTATAAGGCAGTGATCCCTCTTACAGCGATGTGAAAGATTAGGATTGTGTTTTTTTTGCTTCTTATTTTCTCATGGTAGGTAGTGGCCAGTGGCAGTTAGGTCCTGGTGCGCACTCCTTGGTAGTCCAACTTTATCACTAGGTCAAGGCACAACCCAGCCTTAAATTGGATTCATACCCGGGAACCCTCACTTTATTTGCCCCCAACTTTATCTCTAGGCCACGTTACAAGTTTATCTCGAAAGGATTCTCTGGATTATCTTGGCTTGCTAGTTCAAGGTTGAGAAGAATATTCCGAATTTGTTCTTTTTTGTTGATTTTAATGTACCCAACTTTAAACTTTTTTATAACCACAGAAACTTGATAAGAACCAACAAATATAAGTGAAAATTTGTGCATTATAACCACCGAAATAGTACACCTAGTTTACAGTTGAATAATGGTGTCTTTTCATGTTAATTTGAAAGTAAAACTGAGGATCAAACATAAATTAAATGTAGAATACTACTTGTAGCTGTCGGTAAGAAGGTTTCAGAATTTGCGCAATATGTTGGAATCAGTTTAGGTTGTACATGAATGATGAAAATAAAAAGAGATTCTTGAGATATAGCTAGAGGGTTTGAGAATAGAATCAAGAGTTAGAAGGATTGTCTCAATGGTCTTAACTATTTTTTTTTTATAAAAGAATAATTTTATTATAGAAAGAGATCAAGGGCATAATACAATATTGAGAACAAGATATCCTCAAGAAATGAGTAAAGAAAAAACATGCGAAAAATATTCCGAAAGGAGAAAATAAAGCCACCCTCCAGTTCCTTTGAAGATCCGACAAAGACAACCCTCTAAAACTTCTTGTACATTTGGTCTAAAGTGAAGCCATAGAAACCAATCGTTCCAACACTAACTCGGAAGAAATAGAACGATTATTGAAAATTCTAGCATTTCTCTCTATCCAAATATATCAAAGAATTGCCATAAATGCACAATGCCATAAAACTTTAGCTTCTTTTTTTCTTTCCAAAATCCCAATACTTAATCTGCAACATCTATCCCACTATAGATGGATAAGACTCACCAATCAAATGCAAAACTACAGTGAATAAATAAAGGAACATTCGATTCTCCACTACTCTAGCAAGTAAGACACATATCGAGACTCAATGCTTTATAGGGCTTCCAAACCTGCAATAAATCATTAGTGTTAACCCTATTAAGGACAACAATCCAAATAAAAGCCCTAAATTTTGAAGGAATTTTGACTCTCCAAATGAATTTTGCCAAAGAGAAAGAGTAATTATTATATCTATAGCTAATAAGATGTGAATAGAATGATTTGCATGAAAAAATCTTTGATGTATCCCTTGTCCAGATTCTACTATCTTGGGACAATCTAGGTTCAAAGTCATTGAGAATGTGAATCATTATGGTATTTACCATTAGATTTTTCTTCCAACAAGAAACAACGAAACAAATCTTCAAATTTGTAGCAATCCGATCTACAATCACCTTTTGATGGAGCCTCATTTATCAAAATACTTTTATCATTGCGCAGTGGAAGTTATTCACTTAAAGACTATAGGTTTTGAGGAAAAAATTTTCTTTTAAAGGGGTGGATTGTAACATCCCAAATTTTTATAAAATAAGTGTTAAAATTGGGGATGAAATTTTGAGGATTATTGAGGATAGAACAATTAGAATTTTATGTTATTAATATAATCTATTTTTTGATATTTTAAATAAAAAATGGACTAAAAATATGGATTCTGTGTAAATACAAGTCCAATGATTGTAATATTGGATATGTTTTATGTTGAAAAGGAAATACAATGTTAGACAATGAGCTTCCAAGATGTCTATATAGGTGTACCAATGCATGTGTGAAATGTGTTTAGAGAGGTGTAGCTAATAGCTATGCATGTGTAATAAATGTTTACTTTGGTGTGTCATAGGACACTTGTCGAAAGTAGAATGTGTAGGAATCTAGAGAAAGACACGTAAGAAGTATGACGAAGCAAAGTGTGTAGGACGAAGTAAAGGCTAAATAAGTGTGTTACATGTGTCAAATGAACAAAGACCCAAGCCATGCAAAGTGACACCTCCTATGCTATGTGTCAAGTGATCAAGGATCTTAGACATGCAAGAGAACACATGGCTCCCTTGTGTCAAGCAAAGAGATATTCAAATTATACAACGAGACCTATTACTTGCCTTAGCCTATAAATTCAACCCACCCCCCTCACTTTTAGTAACCGTAGAAAAGAAGGTAGAGAGGGAGAAAGAGAATACGGAGAGAGAGAGAAATCTATGAGGTTTGTGATGGAAATCAATGATGAACTGGGCTTTGATTACTATCAATTTCAAGTATATTGTCGTGATGTTATGAATAAAGGATCTACAAATATCAACCAAAGATTTGGTTGCTTGTGGTACTAATTTATGGGAATCAATTAATGATTTTGAGGTAATGGGTAATATGTAGAATGCTCTGTCTTAAATCTCATCCATTTATTTATTTGAAATCAAAAAAAGATATGTATTCTCCCAATCACACAAAAAATATAATTCTAAGTTGTCGGAGATTATTTCTTTTGTTCGAATCAAGTTACTTAATTGTTTCATCCTCAAAATTCTTTAAAATTCAAGCATGACGCATAGTAAAATTCCAACCTCCATGTATGAAGTTTTGAGCTTAATTAGTATGTGTATATAATACTATAAAAAATAATATGCTCAACAGTAAAAGTACGAATGATCGAATATTAAATAACTTAATCGATAAGCAATTGCACAATCATTAATCAAATGTGACATATCACATAATTTAGCTATTAAGCATATATAGCCTCATATGTGATTCATCTTTGCAACATGACAAGTAACACTTGAGCATAAATTCAAATCATACCGACCAATCACACTTCTCAGGGCCACAATCACATTTTACAAAATATGCTCCAAAGTAATTAGCCCAAAACTTTGGCCAACTCAACAAAACTTACAGAATTTTATATCAATAAAAAATAATGAATAGGAATAGAAAATTTTAGATAATCAACTGGTTGCAAAGAGATTTAAGATAGAGCATATTGTGTACTATCCTGTATCTCAAATTGTTAATCGATTCTGTAGATTAGTAACACAAGTTATCCAATCCCCGTGATATCGATAGATCCTTTGTTCATAACACCATGGACAATATACTTAAAATCGATAGTAATGGAAGCCCAATTCACCGTTGATTTCCACCACAAACCTTATGGATTTCTTTCTATCTTCTCTCTCTCTATTCTTTTGTCCCCTCTTCCTTATTTTCTACGGTTACAACAAGTGGGGTGGTTATAGGCCAAGGCAAGTAAGATGTGTCTAGTTGCATGATTCGAATATCTTGTTACTTGACACATGACAGTCATATGTTTTCTTACATGTCTAAGCTTCTTGATCACTTGACACACAACATTGGAGTTGTCACTTTGCATGGCTTGTGTCATTGTTCACTTGACACATGTAACACACTTGTCAAATCATTAATTCACACCGGACATTTTGTTTTGTTGTATTTGCAACGTGTCTTTCTCTAGATTCTACTTTCGACAAGTGTCTTATGACAAACCAAAGTGGATACTTATTACACATGCACGACTATACTTGTCTATACACTTTTCACACATCCATTTAGTACACATATATGGACATCTTAGAGGCCTTGGTGTCTAGCATAGTATTTCTATTTCGACACAAAATATATCCTATATTTACAGTCATTGGACTCCTCTTTACACAAGGAATCCATTTTTTATTCCTTTTATGTATTTAAAATTTCTAAAAATAGATTATATTGGTCACATAAAATTCTAGTTGTTTTATCCTTAATAACCCTCAAAATTTCATCTCCAATTTTAACTACTTCTTTATAAAAATTCAGGATGTTACATTTTTAGCATAGTTTGGTGTTGATTTAGTGGTTTTTATCCCGGTTTAATTCTGGTGCAATGTTTTCAACTCGATTTAGTGTCGGATCAGTGGTTTTCGGCATAGTTTAGTGGTTTTCAGTCCGGTTCAGTATTTTCAATCTAGTTTAGTGCCAATTTTGGAGTTTTAACACAAGTTTATTATTAGTTTAATGGCTTTCAGTACAAGTTCAGTCTTTTTTTTGGTTGATTCAACTTTGGTTTTGCTTGCTTTACCCTTTACAATTGTTGTAGTTTAATTGGTTGTTGGCTATGGTTCGTTGTGATGTTGTTGGTTGTGTTCATTTGTGCATATTGTTGTTAGTGATGCTAGTGGTGTTGTGTTTCTGTGTTCTTTTCCTCTGTGTCGTTGCGACCGTCATTTGCTATTGCTTCTTTTGGTGTGGTTGTTAATTGTTTTTCTAGAAAACCAAAGTAATGTCTTAGACTTCAGTTGGAGCAACCACCTGTTGTTGCTCAGGAGAAGTATCGTGGTAGTGTGTGTCGATTAAAGAAGTGCATGTATGGTCTATAGCAGTTAGACCTTAGTTTTATTATACTTATTATCTATTATATGGAAATATGATGGTCCGATTTTCTCACCAAACCATTGGTGCTATTCACCTTTAATAACCTTTATTCCAAGTTGGACATTTTTTATCTCTATACTCTAACTTGAGGGGGAGTATTAGAGTTAATTTTCTATTGTTCTAACTTCCTATTATATTGCTTTCCTATCGTGATACTTTCTTATTGTTCTATTTTCCTAATATTGTAATTGTCTTCAATATCAATCTAATATAAATATGTGATACGGTGTTTGCAACATACACTGTACACACAATATTAATTCATTTTTTCTTTCTTTCTCTTTTTTTCTTCTCTTTCTTTTCCTTAACTCTAACATACAATTTCTCTTCTGAAAAAAAGAGATGAAGAGATAGAGTATGAAACAATGTGGTGTGTAGGGTATGGTGTTTCCAATACCCTATCACCTATTTAAATTATAGTGACATTGAAAACAATTAAAATATTAGGAAAGTAGTACATAATAAGAAATAGAACAATAGGTAAGTGACATAATAGGAAAGCGCATAACTGGAAAGTAGAATCATAGGAAAGTAACACTTCAACAGTCTCCTTCATGCTGGAAC